TACTTGGAAGGCTGAGGTGGAAGGATCGCTGGAGCCCAGCAGGTCGAGGCTGCGGTGGCCGGGAGCTGCCACTACATTCCAGTCTGGGTGATGGAGTGAGACTCCAACTCAATAAATAAATAAATAAATAAAAATAAACCTTTCTTAAAAAAATAAAAAAAAGATGGCTTTACAGGGTTATTTCAAAATATGTCAAAGAAACTTATTCTAGGATAAACTATTTGTATTTCCTTTTGGGGTTGCTGTCATGCCATGCTATACCAGTCAGGTTGAAATTTGGTATCCTATTTCCCCAGTGTATTTTGCCTGTCTTATGATCTCTATTTTAATGCCAGAAATCCAAAAGGGAAGGGGTATAACGAGGTGTGTCCGACCGCCTTTGCTTGCCATAATATGGAATTTAACTTTTCAGGTTACGTTGTCCCAGAGGGATCCACACAGTTGGCTGGGGAGGTTTAGAATCTTCTTTTCGGTTTACACATTGTATTTGTCTAGTGGAGTAGGATAAGAAGTTCTACTTAAAGTTAACATTAAGATGGCTATGACAGATTCAAATAGAGATGAACAGGGTGTAGCTGCATATACCCTTCGGCGTTCAGAGCAAAGGCTGGGATTAGGGCCTCCTCTGGACACATGGACGGGTTTGGGGGAGGGAAGGACTGTGGAAAGAGAAGACCCAGGTCTGAGCCCTAGGTCCCCGGAACTCTTGGCAGACCAGGAAGAGGAGAAAGGTCCAGGAAAGGAAAACCAGAGGAGTGCAGGGAAACGGGAGGAGGAGGCGCTTCCAGAAGGGACTGCTCAGCTGGGCCCGTTGTAGCCCAGTGGCGTGAGTCGGAACTGAGATCCCCTACCGGAACTGGCAACTAGAAAGCAGGGAGGAAAGCCTGGGGGCGGGGGGTTCTCTTTGGGGTCCTGCGATAAAGGGAGCAGAAAAATGGAATGGCAGCTAGCGGGCAAAAAGCACCCAAGGGATAATTAAAAAAAAAAAAGATAGTCTGATGTGTGTATACCACTGGATGTGATCCCCGTCCCTAGTATACCAGGAGATGAAATTTTGATTTCCTGCCTCAGGGGACGAATTCCGGGGATCCGTGCGGCCTCAAGCCAAGGCAGCTAAGCCGCGAAGGAGGGAGCCGGGGCTGCCGCGGCCGAGACGAGGAAGATGGGAGGGGGGTGATGGGGGGCAAGGGGGAAGGGTCGGGGGTGGCCGGAGGCCCAGGCGGCGCCGCACTTGGCACCCACCTCCGCAGGCCGGAAAGGCCTGGCCCAAGGTCGCCCAGCGCGTTTGGCGGCGAGGCCACCCCGCTCGGTCCCGTCTGAAGAGCCACAAAATGGAGGAGGAAGGAGCACTCTCTCTCCAGAGCGTCTCGGCGCGTGGGCCGCTCTCCGGCGGTGTCGGGCGCTTCCTGCCCGGCGCCCGACTCTCAGCCGCCCGCCCTCCGCGCGCTGCCCACTTCTCGGGGACTCTTCTTCTTCCTTTCCGGAGCCACCCTGCG